GGCGTGGGGGCAGGACGGGGGGGGTCCCAGCCGGGTCCCCATCTAGCCTCTCAAGTCTGCGCTGCTCCCGGTCGGTCCGCCCCATCTTTCAGAGATGTCTGGGAAGCTCCGAATAAGAGGAGGGACCCAGAGGAGCCAGGAAGGGGGGGCCTTCTGGGGCGGAGCAGAGGGGGAGGGAGGGAGCTGCCTGCTGCTCCCTCTGCCAGCCGCTGAAGATGGGGGTCCTGCCAGATGCAGCTGTGTGGCGGCCTCTGGCTGCTGCCTGGGCCGCCCCCCCATCCCCACCCTGGCTGCAATGCTTGGAGCTCCGGCTGTGGACCCACGAAGCTCCCCACTGAGCCTGCCTCCTCAATCCAGCCGGGATGTCTCGGGGCAGAAGGGGCAGAGACAGGCAGCAGGAGGGCAAGGACACACGTGTGCGCCGGGCTGTCCGCATCTCCAGCTTGGTGGCTCAGGAGGTAGGGGGGCTGTGGGGGAGGCAGCAGAGCCAAAATGGGTTCGCAGAGCTGGATCTGAATTCCAGAGGTCTGAAAAGGCACTTTGGGCATGCTCAGAGGCTCCCACTGTCTCTGAACCCGAGCCTCAGGAGACCCAGGAAAGCTTGCTGTGGAGCGGGGGCATTGTGCAGCGGTGAGAGGGAGCCGCGCATTGCCAAGCTGGGGGTCACAAACCATTAAATCCGCGCGCGCGCGCACCCCCCCCCCACGGCTCATGCTGGTCTAAAAGCTGCTGCTTTTCTTCTCTGCGCAGCCTGCTAAGCCCCTTCCGGGAGAACCAGCCCCTGGGCTGAGCGTAGGGGGGACCCCTCGGAGGCAGCTGCCCTGCCCGCCCTCTGTCCGGGGGGTGCCGGTTTTATTGCCAGGTCTGGGGCTGCGTTGGGTTCTCTGCCTTTCCTCAAATGGGGGTGGAAGCCCTGACAAGGGGGGGGGGTTGCCCGTAAGCAGCTTTTCCTGCCGAAATACGTGGGAAGGAGGGGGGGCCGCTTCCCTCCCGGAGGGTCTCCTCCGCCGGACAGGCAGGTTCTCGCCGAGCAGGCCGCGCTCAGCTCTTGCGGCAGCCGGGTGCTGCCAGGCCCCGCTCCGCCTTGGGAGCGAGTCTGCGCATTCCCCCGCCCAGTCCCCCATTTTCCAAAGAATCCTCAGAATGCGTCCAGGTCCTCCCTTCTTTCCCGGGCGGGGGGGCTTAGTCTCCGTGCCCCTCACCGTGGTCTTTTCTGCCAGCATCCTTTTCCTCCTCTCTGCCAGCGGCTGCCCAGACGCAGGCCTGGTGCGCTCTTGCTTCCTGCAAAGGCCCCCCCCACACCCCCCACGCCGCCCACACACACCCCTCTTTCAGCACTTGGATCATGGCTGGGCAGGATCCTAAACTGGGCTGCCCCTTCCTAAGGCCCACGGAGCACCATCT